CGAGGCATACTTATGCAATAATTTCATCTGACTCAAAGTAGTAAATGTCATGGAAGTGAGTAGTTTTCCTCCTGCCGTACTTTTGATGCAACCCTTTATTTAATGCACAGAATAACTTTATTGCCTCTCACCTTGGGGAAGACTCTCCCCCCGCCTCAACATTATGCCATAGGTGAAGAAATCCTGGGAGAGTCTGCGTTTTGGAAACGCCTCTCTAGCCAATTATTTCTCTCCTAGAGGACAAACAGCATTGCTCAGAATCCCAGAACTATCACTTTGGTTCTGATTTCATTGGGAAGATTGAAACAGCTGCAATAACTGTATAATTCAACAGTTATGAGCACTGCTACCAAGGAACACTGCAGTACAATTCTGGAGAGACAGAGTCTCTTACCAATCCAGTGATGTATGGTAAATTCTGAGGCACTCCTGAAGACATCCCTCCAAGAAGAATCCAGAAATGAAGACAGCAGTTTTAAGACAAATAAGCCAGATCAGACAGGTCGTCTCCACTAGAAGCAGGTCTTCTGCAAATGTCACAGACCTTTATTGTTTATTCAAGATTCCAACAGGGATCACTCACAACAGCATATTCTATCACATCTCTAGGACTGCAGCTAAGGTCTAAGGCAGTATTTCTCAATCTAGGGGTCAGGACCCATGGTGTCATGAGGGGGTGCCAGATGGGTCGCCAAAGACCATCAGAAAACACAGTATTTTCTGTTGGTCGTGGGAGTTCTGTGTGGGAAGTTTGTCCCAATTCTATCATTGATGGTGTTCAGAATGCTCTTTGATTGTAGGTGAACTATAAATCCCAGCAACTACAACTCCAAAATGACAAAATCAAGGTATATTTTCCCCAAACTACCCAAATGTGTTCACACTTGGGCATACTGAGGATTTATGCCAAGTTTGGTGCAGATCCATCATTGTTTGAGTCCACAGTGCTCTCTGGATGTAGGTGAACTTCAACTCCAAAACTCAAGGTCAATCCCCACCAAACCCTTCTAGTATTTTCTGTTGGTCATGGGAGTTCTGTGTGCCAAGTCTGGTTTAATGCCATCATTGGTGGAGTTTAGAATGCTCTTTGATTGTAGGTCAACTATAAATCCCATCAACTACAACTCCAAAATGACAAAATCAATCCCCCCAACCCCACCAATATTCAAATTTGATCATATCATGTATTTGTGCCAAATGAAATATATCCTGCATATCAGATATTTATATTACAATTTATAACAGCAGCAAAATTACAGTTATGCAGTAGCAACAAAAATAATTTTATGGTTGGGGGTCACGGCATTAGGAAGGTTGAGAAACACTGGTCTAAGGGAAGAAGGAAGCTTGCAATAGTTGTCAGTGAGATGGATAGCCTAAGCCTACTTCAGTTAGTCCAAATGTTAAAGGTGCTATCCAAGGTGCTGAAGTGTATCTTTAAAACATGCTTAAAACAGGCATGGGCAAACTTGGGCCCTTGAGTTGTTTTGGACTTCAACTCCCACAATCCCTAACAGCTTCAGGTCCCTTCTGAGTGGCTGAGGAGGGAAAGGAAAAGGCCTGAGGCTGTTCGCGATTGTGGGAGTTGAAGTCTAAAACAACAGGAGGGCCCAAGTTGGCCCATGCATGCTCTAAAACCCAGAGCAGATAGACAACTACCCAGTTGTGGTTGGAAGTGGTGCTGATGGAGGTTGTTAAACCACTGAGACACTCTGTTCCCTTGCACCACTACACCATCCCATGGCAATTCAACCAGCAAACTGATTCCTTCAGATGAGAGGAACAGAGGTACAAGGATTTGTTACCAGTCTGTTTTTGGGCTGCTTCGTGGGCCTGCTTTCTTCAAAAACACACACGCAGAGAGAGGTAGCCTCCACACATAAAATTATGTGGTCCCTTTGTGGAAAGGGACCTTGAGGCGACTTTGGGAAGCCAAATGAGTGAAAAACAATGAGAGCAAAGAGTTATTTGCAATGGCTGCCAGGTGAAATAAAGGCAGAGGCCTCCTTGTGTTACGTGGGATTTCAGCAGGTGCCACTTGTGAAGCACCTACATAACAGGCAGCACCTGGTGAACATTTCTGTGTGCAGGCATAGCTGTGCCCTGCCTTCCACTCACCTGTCAAAATATAACAACCCCATGAATTTCATAGAATTTCTGAGGCAAAGAAGACCCAGAGGTGGTTTTGCCAGCTCCTTCCTCTGAAATACAGCCTACAGCACCTGGATTCATTGGCAATCTCCCATCCAAGCAAAGCTGATCCTAGTGAGCATCCAAGATCAGAAGGAGCTGGTGCCTTTAGGCAGAGCAATAGATGGGTCCAGAGCCCTCTCCTTCCTCCTTCCTTTCAGCTGACAAACCCATCCCTCTTTCTCTCTAGCGCTTTTTTTTCCTGGTTGCTGGCACAGGAGAATCGGGGGACACGCTTGACCTCAGTTTCCCCAGTTCACCGATCAATCCAGGAAGAGAAGAATGCAAAAGAACTCTGTGCACACAGTTCCCCAATGAACTTGTGTGTCTTTCAGAGGAGAGAGAGAGAAAGAGAGAGAGAGAGACCTTCCTCAAGGTTAGAAACACCAGAGAGAGATGGGGAAGGGGAGTGGGGGAGGGCCTGGGAAAATAAGCTGAGGCTCTCCAACTCTCTTCTCAGGCCATCAGACAGTCCCTAAATAATCCCGGCTGCCTTGATGCACTTTTAAAAGCAATTCTTTGTTGTTGAAGGCTTTCATGGCTGGAATCACTAGGTTGCTGTGAGTTTTCCGAGCTTTATGGCTATATTCCAGAAGCATTCTCTCCTGACGTTTCACCCACAAATATGGCAGGCATCCTGAGAGGTTGTGAGGTCTATTGGAAACTAGACAAGTGAGGTGTATATATCTGTGGAATGTCTAGGGTGGGAGAAAGAATGCTTGTCTGCTTGAGGCAAGTTTGAATGTTGCAATTGGCCATCTTGATTAGCATTGAATGGCCTTTCAGCTTCAAAGCCTGGCTGGTTGCTACTTGGGGGATCCTTTGTTGGGAGTTCTTAGCTGCCCCTGATTGATTCATGTCTGGAATCCCCCTGTTTTTTTCTGGTTTTTTTTAGTGTTGCTCTTTATTTACTGTCCTGATTTTATAGTTTTTTAAAAATACTGGCAGCCAAATTTTGTCCATTTTCATGGTTTCCTCCTTTCTATTGAAATTGTCCACAAATTCTGTTTGAATCTGACATGGTAGTTGTTTGAGAGGTCCAGCATTTCTGTGTGTTCTCAAATAATATGCTGTGTGCATGTTAGTTCATCAAGTGCTCCCAACAAAGGATTCTCGCAGGCAGTAAACAGACCTTGAAGCTATTCAGTGCTAATTTGCCACTTGCAGTATCCACACTTGCCTCAAGCAGACCAGAGTTCTTTCTCCCACCCTGGATATTCCACAAATATATAAACCTGACTTGCTTAGTTTCCACAGACCTCACAACCTCTGAGGAAACGTCAGGAGGGAATGCTTCTGGAACATGACCATACAGCTCTGAAAACTCACAGCAACCCACAGATTGTAACTCTCCTCTGGATAGGAGGGGATGTGCCAACTTCTCTGCAGAGCGCTGAGCTCTTTCAAAACCAGCCAAGGCACCAAAACCGGCGGAGATTTGCCCAAAAGGATCGCCTGTGGGCTTCTCCATTTGTTCCTTCAATGGAGAAGACCACAGCAGCGAGCCTCCCCCCCTCCCCACCCCCACTTTCCCGCTCCCAATGCGAGGAAAGGAAGGAAGCAGAGCCCCCTCCGAACGCCAAACCCTGAGAGGAGCGGCTCCAAAGAGCTGGGGATGTTTCTCTTGGAGTAAAGAAGGCTGAGCGGGGACACGGGGAGGTTTCAAGATTGGAAGGGATGCCACGTTGAGGAGGGGGCGAGATGACTCTGGAGACAGACGAGAGGACACCACGGATTCCAATGGCAGGGAAAGAGAAGAGAACTTCCTGACCGCAAAAGTGGAACATGCTGCTACTTGGGAGTGGGGCAGAGCCTTTGAAGCAGAGGCTGAATGGCCATCTGTCGGGAGAGCTTGGGTGGAGTATTCTTTCATAGCAGGAAGGCTGAGCCCCCTTCTACACTGTCATAGAATCCACATTACATGCTCTGAACTGGATTTTTTTTGTGTCAGGAGTGACTTGAGAAACTGCAAGTCGCTTCTGGTGTAAGATAATTGGCCGTCTCAAAGGACGTTACCCAGATAGAATCCTAGAGTTGAAAGAGACGGCATGGGCCATCCAGTCCTACCCCCTGCCAAGAAGCAGGAAAATTGCACTCAAAGCACCCCCGACAGATGGCTATCCAGCCTCTGCTTAAAAGCCTCTAAAGAAGGAGCCTCCACCACACTCCGGGGCAGAGAGTTCCACTGCTGAACAACTCTCACAGTCAGGAAGTTCTTCCTAATCTTCAGATGTTTGACGTTTTACCATCCTTGTGGGAGGCTTCACGCATGTCCCTGAATGGGGAGCTGGAGCTGACAGAGGGAGCTCACCGGCAGATTCGAACCTCCGACCTGTGGGTCTTCAGTCCTGCCGGCACAAGGGTTTAACCCACTGTGCCACCGGGGGCTCCACATCATTTTGGAGGGAGATCACCCACTCCTTTCCTGGAGATAGTGGGGAGGACAGGAAACTGGGTGACTTGAGAAACTGTAAGTCACTTCTGGTGTGAGAACGGGCCATCCAGATGTGTTACCATCCTATAGGAGGCTTCTCTCATGTTCTCGCATGGGGAGCTGGAGCTGACAGGGGGAGCTCAGATTCCAACCTCCGACCTGTGGGTCTTCAGTCCTGTCGGCACACTGCGACACGGGGGGGGGGGGGCTCCTTTGAACTGGATTATCTAAGTCTACATTGCCATATAACCCAGCTCAAAGCAGATCATCTCGATTGAATCTGGCAGTGTAGAAGGGATTCAAGACAGAAAAAGGCGGTAAGGAGGGTTTGGGTCGCTTTCTGCCCCCCTTTGAGAGACATTCGGAGCGCCCTCACCTGCGTGGCTCATCTTCCGGAGCCTCTGCCTTCAGCTCCTGCCTTCAGATCATCTTCCTCCGTCTTCTGCCGCCCCGAAAGTTCCCCGGGGGCATGGGGAGGAGGGGGCCCCGTCCAGAGGAGGCTCTCCCCGGTCTGGAGGAGCTCTCTCCAAAGCCCGGGTGGAGCGGAAGAGGCCGAGAGGGGAGGCTGGGCAGCCGGCGTCCCTTTGCTCGCTCTCAGCTGCTGCCCCGAGGGCGAGGGAGCGCCTGTTTCGGAGTCGATGCCCAGCTCCCGGCTCTCCCGATCCTCCTCCTCCTCCTCCTCCTCCTGCTCCGTCCGCCAGGCATTTCCCTCCCTTCCCTGCAGAGGAAACCCGTTTTGCTCGCGCAGGGATGGCGAAGCGGACACGGAACGGGGCGTGGGGACCGGGAAGGAAGGGCGGGAGGGAGGCAAGCCGGGAGGGGGAGCCGGGATTTAAAGAGCCAGCCCCTGCTCCCTTCCCTCACACTCCCTCCCTCCCTCCCTCCTCAGGTGGACCAAAACCACGGGCGGAGAGGAAGCACACAGCCCTGACGCTTCTCTCCGTGTACTTCCCCCTCCCATTATTATCCACGCCTTTGCAGCCAGACCGGGTTTGGCTCCCCCGCTATCGGAATGTCCTGCGGAACTCACTGCGACAGGACCACGCGGCTAACAGCCACCAAGGGCGCATCCATGCACTAGAATTAATGCCCCCGGTGGTGGTTGTTCTTCATTCGTTCAGTCGCTTCCAACTCTTCTTGACTTCATGGGCAGAGCCCACGGCAGAGCTCCCTGTCGGCCGTCACCACTCCCAGCGCCATCAAGGCCATGCCAGTCCCTCCTGTACCTCATGGACCAGCCCACGCCAGAGCTCCCTGTTGGCCGTCACCACCCCCAGCTCCCTCAAGGTCAAACCAGTTCCCCAAGGACCTCATGGACCAGCCCACGCTAGAGTTCCCTGTCGGCCGTCACTACCCCCAGCTCCTTCAAGGTCAAGCCATTCACTTCAAGGATGCCATCCATCCATCTTGCCCTTGGTCGGCCCCTCTTCCTTTTTCCTTCCATTTCCCCCAGCATCATTCTCTTCTCGAAGCTTTCCTGTCTTCTCATGATGTGTCCAAAACACTTCATCTTTGAGCTGCTGAACTGGATGACCGAAAGGTCTCTGGTTGGAATCCGAAGAGCAGGGTGAGCTCCCGCTGTTGGCTCCAGCTTCTGCCAACCTAGCAGTTCGAGGACATGCTAATGTGACTGAGTAAATCAATGGGTACCGCTTCTGCGGGAAGGTAACGGCGATCCGCGCGGTCTTGCCGGCCACGTGACTTTGGAAGTGTCTACGGACAACGCCGGCTCTTCGGCTTAACAATGGAGATGAGCACACACACCCCCTCCAGAGTCGGACATGACTAGACTTAATGACAAGGGGAAAACCTTTACCTTTACCTAATAGCCGAGATAGCTCATGCATGGGCCAACTTGGGTCTACACCTCAGGGTGTTTTGGACTTCAACTCCCACCATTCCTCACAACCTCAGGCCCTTAAGCGGCTGAGGGGGAAAAGGAAGGGGCCTGAGGCTGTGAGGAATGGTGGGAGTTGAAGTCCAAAACACCCGGAGGTGTAGACCCAAGTTGGCCCATGCCGGATGTAGATGCGCACCAAGTCCGTATCCCACGGCAACTAGGAGAGTTTGTTTTTCTCTTTTACCTGGAAGCTGGGAGACCTCTTCCTCCGGCTCCTCTGGGGATGGAAAGTGCCTGTCCTTCCGTCCGAGGCAGGCCCAGCCCCGGGGAGAGTGAGGGCGCCGCCTTGGAAGGGCCCCTTTATCTCCCCGCTCGCCCCCTCGGCCTCCCTCCCTCCCTCCCTCCCTCCTGCCCCGGCCTCCTCTCCTCCCTTTCCCGCCCTGTGTCCTGCTCTTCTTTCCGCGCTTCGCTTCCTCCCCTTCCCTCCCACTCCCAGCCCCACGGATCACGCCTCGCTGTCCGGCCCAAAGGGGGTCGTGCCCTTTAAAGACAGGCTAGGAAAGGAGTGCCCCCCCCCACACACCCGGTTTGGCTCTGCCCAGCCTTTGGTTTGGAGAGCTGCTGCTGAAAATGGCTTTTGAGAATCCAGAGAGAGCAGGGTGCTGGAAAGCGATTCTTGCCATGTCGAATCATAGAATCCTAGAGTTGGAAGAGACCTCATGGGCCATCCAGCCCAACTCCATGCCAAGAAGCAGGAAAATCGCATTCAAAGCACCCCCGACAGATGGCCATCTATCCTCTGCTGAAAAGCCTACAAAGAAGGAGCCTCCACTACACTCCGGGGCAGAGAGTTCCACTGCTGAACAGCTCCAACAGTTCGGAAGTGTAGGTGGAATCTCCTTTCCTGCTGGAAGCTGGAATTTCATGTTCAGGTGGAATCTCCTTTCCTGCTGGAAGCTGGAGAGGAAAGGGCTGAGAGGCGACATGGACATCCCAAGGATAATCAGTTGGGAAAACAACGCCAGCATGTTTCCTATTGCTCTACAGCAGCATCTATCAACCTGGGGGTTGGGAGACCTGGGGGGTTGCGAGGGAGTGTCAGAGGGGTCACCAAAGACCATCAGAAAACACATATTTCTGATGGTCTTAGGAAACCTTTTGGCAGAGAAGGTTGAAGATCTCTCCACCTGTCCTTCTCTTCCTTTTTTGGTGTTGGTGAATTAAAACTCCCAGAATTCAAAAATCCCACCAGTATTCAATGTTGGCCATGTAGGTAGTGTGCCAAGTTTGGTGCAGATCTATTGTGGACTGGGTCCAGAGTGCTCTTTGACTGTAGGTGAACTATAAATCCCAGCAACTACAACTCCCAAATGTTAAGTCTATTTTCCCCAAACTCCACCACTGATCACATTTGGGCATCTTGACTCTTCATGACAAGGTTGGTCCAAATCCATCTTTGCTTGAGCCCATAGTGCTCACTGGATGTAGGTGAACTTCAATTCCAAAGCTCAAGGTCAATGCCACCAAACCTTTTCAGTATTTTCTGTTGGCCATGGGAATTCTGTGTGCCAAGTTTGGTTCAGGTCCATTGTTGGTGGAGTTCATAATGCTCTTTGATTGTAGGTGAACTATAAATCCCATCAACTACAATTCCCAAATGACAAAATCATAATTTTTGAGTGATAGTCACTCGTTGTGAGAGGTTTTGTTGCCAAATTTGGTGTGATTTCGTTCAGTGGTTCTTTTGTTTTTAAGGCACTCATTATGCACATAGCATTTATAGATAGATAGATAGATAGATAGATAGATAGATAGATAGATAGATAGATAGGTAGATAGGTAGATAGATAGATAGATAGATAGATAGATAGATAGATAGATAGATATTACACAAATGTAAATTGTAGTAATGAAATGGATGGGGACATAACATATGTCATTAAAGCTTTTCATTCATATTTTTAAACATGTATGGTTTGTAAGATAATAACATACATTTCCCAGATTTTTGTCATTTCTTGTTTTGTTTATGTGACACACCTACACACTGTAGCCAACACACTATCTGGTTGCGATACACAGTTTGGAAAGCTCTGGCTTAAAGAGTGGTTTTCAGCATTGGCAAGGGCTGAACTAGATGGCTCCTTGTGATTCCCACATTATGGTACATGTTTCTCTCATCAATCAGGGAACATCCTAACCTGGTCCTAGACCTAATTTTACCACCCTATATACTCACTTATCTAGGCTGGAAGTAAAACTAATTGAACTCAGTGGGATTTCACTCTCAAACTAAAATGTTAGATGGTTTCAGTTTACGTCAACAGAGTTACCTTAGATGTCTATCCTGAATACCAACATAGTGCAATGTATGTGCAGGAGATCAATGATCAATCTGTTTAGCTGACATGCCAGTATGCAAAACCATAATGGACAATGTGCAAAGGTGACATGTACAAACAATATGCATTCATATTCTACCACTACATACCAATGTCCAATGGTCCACATGAACGACTCCACTTACACAATTATCAGTTGCATATGACTGTGATGCTTTGTTTGAAAAAAAAAACTGCACAAATTGTGCACATTGTGCCTTAATATTCCAAACAAGATGCCAGCCACTGTGTGTGTGCCTACCAGGTTTATGGTGAGATAAAGCTGCCTATGGTGTATGAACTCTATTGTTTTCTGCATCCTTATGAGTTGCAGGGAGAGGTATGAACTTGTAGGAATGAGCTGGAACTGATTTCAGATTCAGGGTTCATCTACACTGTAAAATTAATGCAGTTTGAGATTACATTAACTGCCATGCCTCAATTCTATGGAATAATGTGAGCTGTAGTTTGGTGAGGCACCAGCCCTCCTTGACAGAGAAGAGCTTGTAAAACTAAAACTCCACAGCACTGAGCCGTGGCAGTTAATGTGATATCAAATTCCACTAATTTTACAGTGTATGCACATCCTCAATCTCCTACTCAGTTCAATGGTGCCTTCTGAGTAGGACTAGTGTAACCAAGCCAGAAGGGCAACATTCATAGCAGGGCTGGTCTGACCTCATTTTAAGGTAACCCCCCCCCCCCCCCCCCGTTCTGATCCAGAATTTAAACTTACTGAATTGTCTTGTCCAGGGAAATCACTAACTTCCAATTTAATTTCTCATTCAAAAATGGATTATAGGCTTGATAATACTATGAAAATAAACAAAATAGAACAGATAATGTACTTCAGGGAAATAGCTATCACTCGAGGAGGATGTATTTGGAACTAAACCAAACAAGTACTGAAGCGATATAATTACTGTGTTCACAGAAAAAGTTATTAGGAGCCAAAGTTGCTATTCATTAGTACTATATGTCAAAATTTCTGATGGATTTGAGGAAGCTTCCAAGTTTTTAAGCTCATATTATACTACTTCCCCAAACAGTCACTCCTTAATTCTTTTTTTAAAATCAGTGGGGTCATTGGGGGGCACAGACCTCACTGGATGACACCACCAGAAGAGGTGAAACCTAAGATTGTTCATACTGTAAAATATTTGTGTAGTGTTTCAGCAGGTATATATTTTTAATAATATATCTCTGTAGTTAGTTATAACTATACAAAACATTTTTGTAAACATTGCAACAAGACTAAACGCTATGCTAATTTACTTTTTGAATCATCTAAAGTACATGCACTGTGGTCACAGCCGCCATTATTACCTAATTATAATGACTGTTTGAGTCACATGGTTTTGTCTGTATGTAGTAGAAGCACACGTTGTTGCTTGAATAACTGCTGAGTTTTTATAGTTACTGATTCTGTCAAATTTACAAACAACATTGGCTGGCTTATCCAGATGCCATTGCAGAGTAAGTTGATGTTGTGCCAAGACTACCCAGGCTGGCACCATGGCTTCAGGCAACTCCAAATGGCTGCTTAGAGCAGGCCTGGACCATTGCAAGATCTTGGTATAT